AACAATAACACCACCAACCACTACCGTTGCCGCCTGAGCAGCACCACCATCGTCACACCATCACAACACCACCACAATCATTGTCGTAATAATAAAAAAAAAATCGTCATATCGCCGCCCGCACCACCACACAGCTTCCCACAGCTACACCCACAGCAAATCCACCCACCTATCAGCCACTCCCACAGCAAATCCACACAGCACCATCAACACCACGTCCACCCCGTCGCGGCCACCAGATCCACGCCCACCCTATCACTCCGACAACACAGCTGCTGTGCCCAACCAAAAAACTCTATCACCGCCGAGAACATAGCTGCTGTACCCAACAAAAAAACCTCAACCCCCTACAACCACAGTTGCGAAGATGCGGATCTTCGTGAAAACCCTCACAGGGAAAACCATAGCCCTGGAGGTGGAATCCTCCAACACCATCGTGGCTAAGATCCAAGACAAGGAGGGCATCTCGCTGGACCAGCAGCTTTTAATATTTGCCAGCAAACAGCTTGAAGATGTCGTACACTCGCCGACTACAATATCCAGAAGGAATCCACCCTCCACCTCGTCCTCCACCTCTGCGGTGGTGCCAAGAAGCGCAAGAAGAAGACCTACACCAAGCCTAAGAAGATTAAGCGCAAGAAGAAAAAGGTAAAGCTAGTCGTACTCCAGTTCTACAAGGTTGAGTATTCTGGCAAGGTACAGAGACTGCGTAAGGAGTGCCCACATGCTGAATGTGGCGCCGGAACTTTTATGGCTAACCATTTTGATCGCCACTATTGTGGTAAGTGTGGCCTCACCTATGTATACAATAAGGTTGGCGGCGATTGAGCATGAATATTAGTCTATTGGAATATATCACTATTTTTTCTGTTTAATCGTGAGAATAGCTATTACAATTGGATAATTATATTACCACAACAAAATTTACTTGTTACACCACAATTTTAATCAATTTTTTTATTTACTTAAATCACCTTAAGTAGAATTACTTAACTACCCAAAATTTTATATAAATTCTTAAAACATTTTTTCTGAATACACCACGAGTTGCCTTTGCCTGTACCGCCACCGCCACTTCCCTCTTCTACCTCGACATTTTTACCAAGGAGAAGAAAGAGGAATCCCTTGCTGAAAAATGGAATGACATATTGGGAATTTGCAAAAGGAGAAAAAACTTTTTCTATATGCATACAAGCCGATTACCAGGCATGAAATTTGGATGGAAAGTCGGCACAAACAGGTATTTAACATCATGGAAAGATGAAAATGACCCGTCTCCTGAAGAAATTACTCACCGACTTGAAAATAATGGGATACCTCAATTTGTTCTTCGCAATGGACCAGAACCAATTTTCCGGCCATGGCCATGGAATTTAGGGGTCCCCCTAACTGGAAGACAACTTTCAAACAAACTTTTGTTTACAATAATGAAGAACTGTACTTTATGAATGAGATTGTCAACAAATCTTTTTTTTATCATGGTTGCCATGTATCCATCCGGTTTAGTCCAAAGTTACCTATTGAAGAAAAAGGGGTATCCTCATCGACTGTTTTGGATTCAACACAGATTAATCGGTGTGAGAAGTATGGATTATGCGGTGCTAATATCATTTGTAAAATCAAGAGTAGTCCACCATATTCAAAGGAAAACTTGAGGATCATACTTTCCAGAATGAAGAATCATCCTCACAAAGCCAACAAGAGGCACAGTGTCCTCCAAAATCTGGTCTTCCCAATCCACCCACGTGGCACCATCTCCACTTTTCTTCTCAGTTTCATAATCTGAATCGTCGTTCGCCAACTCTCCAAAAGCATAAGATTGCGAGTCCTCCCCGCACCGAACCACACCGTCATTTGAACCAGTCTTGATTGCGCAACAGATGCACAAGTGAGAGCTATTCCATGGGAAAGTGACTGAGAATGAATATTTGGTAAAACCAAGGAAGCAAAAGAAGCCATTTAAATGAATTAACTAATTTATATTAATCATTTTCTTTCGATTTGTTCAAGAATGGGAAGGCAATCGGACGGGAATTGGCGAATTGCAGGTATCTTCTTCACTCTAAACTTTGGCAGAGAAGAAGAAGAATAATTTATGAGTACACCCCAAGATCTCTCTCTCTTTTTTTTTTTTATTGGATTAAGGATATATTTGTAAAATTTTTGTGGTGTATTTATCAAATGTGTATTTTGGTTGTGGTGTGATTATAATGTGGTGTAACTAAACTTTGTGGTGGTAATATAATCCCCCTCTGCTGTATCGACTATCATTTAAAAGGTTTGGAATTGCACTAACTTTTAAAAAATATTATCTTTATAGTTTTCTTCTTGTATTTCATCATCATATACCGCAGTATGGCTGACAGTATCCTATTAATTTTCTGCAGGAATTTCAATCCAATCTGCGGAATTTTTAAAATCCCAGAAAGAAAGGAGACAATAATCAATTTAAGTTCAGTTATACCTTTAAGCTGTTTTTGTAAAGTTTGATTCATCTTAGAGATCTTTGATGGCGAGTCGGACCTCTGAACTTGTGGGTCGGGTCGACCCGGCTCAGAGTTTTGATACTGATGCTCTGCTCCGATACGCTTCGGCTAATGTTGAGGGGTTCCCTCAAGCACCTACTCAAGTCACCGTTTCTCAGGTTTTCTTTCTTTGTTTTTGTGGATTCTTTTTGCTTCTTTTCTATTATATGGAATTGCGAATCTTTCTGTTTTTTTCGCCGATTTGTTTAAAATTGATGTAAGAGGAAAAGAAGTATTTGTCCAGGCATGTTTGGCCTTGCTTAAAAGTTGTTAAAAGTGGCATCAAATCAATTATAAGAAAGAAAAGGACAGTCTTTTGATGGATTGAATTCAGTTCTGATGGGGATTCTAAATAGTTGGCACTGTTGAATATTTGTTTGATCACAAACTATTGGAAAATATTCGAGTTTTGAAATTGTTTTAAAGATTATTATAAGGGAAGGAGATGGAGAGCTAGAATTTGAGTTTCGAGTCCCGTTAATGATATTTAAGTGTCTGTATCTGTAGTATGTGGCTGCTGAAAGTTGAATGATTATATGTGATGATTTTATTGCAGACCTTGTGTTAGAGCTATCTTAATTCTGGAAAGAAGAATAAATCTGAGTCGTTTTAAATTTATTCTTATCTCTACTTTGGCAGGTTTTGAAAAAAGAAATCGTTTTTTGTCCATGCAAAGTTGGGTACTTGAATTAGAATTTGTGAAAGGAATCAATTCAAATTTAAATTGACTTTTTTTTGTATAATTCCAAGTGAAATCCACGTGCCTAACACAGGCTAAGCAAAGTTGCAATCTTTAGGGAATTCTCTACACTATCAAGTGGCTAATCAATTGACTCTAGAAGACGATACCAAGCTAGAGAGGAAAATGATTGAAACAGAATTATGGGTTCAAATATGCTGGACCGATGGAAGTCTTATACGTATAATTTTCTTAGCTGTAATCTTATTTTGGGTATGTTTTGATATCATGTGTTGTAAATTCAGTTTGGGCATGGTCAGTCAAATCCGACATTTCTCATGGAAGTCCATTCAGGATCTTCTGTGAAGCGGTATGTGATGAGAAAGAAACCTCCTGGAAAATTGCTCGAATCTGCTCATGCCATTGAGAGAGAATTTCAGGTCCTGTTTCCTCAGTTTCTCTTTACACACACATGCAAATGCACTTGCATATAAATATGTATATATTATTGTACAGTTGTACTGATGCATGGATATATGTGTATGATATGCACCTGTTTACACACGCATGAAGATATGAGTACTGTCAAGCTTGTTGCTAGCATGGTGTGTTTTCACTTTTCTGATTGTAATTAGTTGACATCTGGAGTGCTATCTTTAACATGGCAGGTTCTACATGCATTGGGAACTCATACGTTGGTTCCGGTTCCGAAAGTTTTCTGTTTATGTATAGATTCAAATGTGATTGGAACTCCATTTTACTTCATGGAGTACCTGGAAGGACGCATATATATAGACCCAAAGCTCCCGGTATGGACATCACTACTTCTAAAGCTATATTTTATTTCTTTGAAATTTAATATGATAAGGACAACACTATGCCATCAGACTAGTTCCTTGTTTCTTATAGTGACTTCAACTTGGAAAATTGAATCATCTTCATTCTCATTGATTAGGGTGTAGCACCGAAGCAAAGAAGAGCAATATATCATGCAACTGCCAAGGCTTTAGCATCTCTTCATTCTGCTGATGTTGATGCAATTTCTCTAGGCAATTTTGGGAAACAAAAAAACTACTGTAAGCGTCAGGTGGGAAATTACTTTCTTTTTCTTGAAGGAAACAAGATACAAATATTATCCTCCTTTTCTACTGAATAGGCACTTTTCAAATAACAGATCATTTTTAAAGTTATGTTTTCCCAAGACTCTCAATATGTTTTTCTTGTGATGCTTGTGAACTATCCTTTTGCACATCAGTGGCACTTGTATGCTACATCTAGCTAATGAAATATTATTATACCTACCATAGGTGGAGAGATGGGCCAAACAATACCTTGTTTCTACTGGTGAGGGTAAGTCTAACAGAAATCCAAGAATGTTAGAACTGATTGACTGGTTGCGTCAACACATTCCTCTTGAAGATTCTTCTGGAGCAACAGCAGGTCTAGTCCATGGTGACTTTCGGATTGATAATGTTGTATTTCATCCCATTGAGGTGCGGTGCTTTTGATAGTTTTTGCTACATTGTTTGGGGAGTACTTATAGGATCAGGCGTCTCTATCAACATGTTTGATTAAGCTTAAGAGGAAGTAAAAGAGACTTTTAAACTTATTTTTTTTGCCAAACATAATTTTAATGGCTAGTCTTTTTAATAATTAAAAAACTTACTTTCCCAGGAAGTAAGTCTCATCTTACTTTCTAGAAATGTAATTTTAAGCTTAGCCAGACATGCTCTATAACAACTATTGCTCCTTACATCTCCATACACAGATTCATATAAACACGCACACATACATGTAGAGAGAGAGAGACTACTCCATAGGAGCTGTTTTAAAATTAGTCCATCTCACCTAAAATACAACTGATTTCTTATTTTGATGCTGCAGGATAGATTAATTGGCATTCTTGATTGGGAATTATCAACTCTAGGAAATCAGATGTGTGATGTTGCGCATAGTTGCCTGGTATTTAAGTCTATTGGGACTCTCAACTCTTTTTCACTTTATTTGAACTTGCTGACTGATGAATTTTCTGACATTTTATGATCATGATTCACTATATCTGTTGGCATATACATATTCTTCCAGTTTACGTTTTATAGAGTTGTTAAATTTTTTTATATTGAATCTATATCGATGATTGAGACTGGGATTCTGAAATTTCTTATCAGTTTGGTTTCATGACAGCATTACATTGTGGATTTTGCTTTGGACGAAGTACAAGAGAATGGAGGTCTTGAATCGACTGGGATTCCCGATGGAGTTCCTTCACTAGCTGAATATCTGGCATATTACTGTTCTGCAGCTGTGAGACCTAATTTTACAATTATCTGGATGTCTATTTTAAATTTCTGATTCAAAACATTTTTAATATATCTTTTTCTGATAAGTACTTAACTTGCAGAATTTTGCCCAGACATTTCCCATGTTAGTGATTAGTGAAGAATGCTTTTAGAGAATAGCAAATGGGGTTTTCCACGTGGGGGTTGGTGGGGGCAAGTCCAATAATTAAATGTGTTACATCTTGAATGTCGCCATGTATTCACCTTGATTGTACACTTGTGTATTCCATATAGGCATTATTAATTTTAATATTAGACATCTTCAGATACCATCTCTCTAAGATTTCAGAGATCTTACTTTTGCTTGAATATTGAGATGCAGGGAAAGCCTTGGCCTGTCGTTCAGTGGAAGTTTTATATTACATTTTCTCTGTTTCGTGGGGCATCGATTTTTGCTGGAGTACATTGTAGATGGATCATGGTATCACGGCTGTCAAATTTGTTACTAGAGTATATGACTTTTTTAATTAAGTTCATATTGTTAAGGGAGCTCAATAATGAGGTATAAAATTTTCACCATCTCTTCGCAGGGTAATGCTTCAGGAGGACACCGTGCCCGCCATGCTGGAAAGAAGGCTGATGCTATTATAGAAACTGCATGGGCATTTATTCAAAGGAAGTCTGTTCTTCCCGAGCATCCACCATCAGGTGGCTATAATTTCTATATATTCGATTGACGGTTAAGTTACCTGGAAAATATCTAATATATGTGTATGTTCTTAATTCTGGCACTTGTTGAGAAGGCTAAGATGTTAACTGAATATTTATCTAATTTTTTTGGGCTATGCTGATTTTATCCCGTTGTAGTCTAACTTGAGAGAAGATGCAATTAACTGTTGGAAGGTTCATGCACCCTTCAAATTTTTTTGTGAAATGTTGTTTCTTCCAATTACTCAGACTCAATTGCTCGAGAGCATATGCGACAAAGTGGAAAGGAATTAAGAGATCACACCTCTTCAAGTGGAGGCAAATCAGTTCCAAGTCTGCAGGTTCAACGTTTAAGAAACAGATTGATTAAGTTTATGGAGGATCACATATATCCAGTGGAAAATGAGTTTTATGAACTTGCCCAATCTACGGAGCGGTGGACAGTTCATCCTAAAGAAGAGAAGTTAAAGAAACTAGCAAAAAGAGAAGGCCTGTGGAACCTGTGGATACCTGTATGTAACATTTATTAATTGCATTTTTTTCCCCTTGCATTCACTTGGAATGTTGTGAAGCTCTTTCTAAGTACTGAGGCAGTTGTACCTTCGCAAATTTTCTATGTATACGTCAAATATTTTTGACTGAAGTCTCCAAGTTTGTATGCAGTTCGATAGTGCTGCTAGGGTTAAGAAAGTCATTTCTGGTGGGACCGTTAACAAGGCATTTGACGGATTACTGGGAGCTGGTCTCTCAAACCTTGAGTATGGATACCTCTGTGAGATCATGGGCCGTTCTGTATGGGCCCCGCAGGTGTTCAACTGTGGAGCACCAGATACCGGAAATATGGAGGTATTGGAAAAGTCTATCCATTATAAGCAAGCAACAATTATGTAGCTGACTCAATTGTTGCCTTTTGCTTCATAATCCGTGAGAGCATGCCTTGCACCAAAAGAATAAGTTAAATGAGATTACCCCAGAACAATACATCTGTAAGGGAAAGAAAATGATCTACTTTGGTGTTTCTCTTTTTCTAATTAGATGGCCCTGGTATTGGACTGCATGACAGTGATATGCGTCTTGCCGAAGAGTTATAAAATGCGCACACATTGAGATGTCAAGGTCTTTTGAGGCTTATGGACAAGTTGAGGTGCATGCTTTATCAAGGCGGAGCACGTCTTATATTCGAAATAGAAAACCTTCTTGTTTCACGTGACATGAAAGGAAAAAAAATGCTAAAATTGCATTGAATTGGGGAACTTCAGAAAATTTTAGATAAATTCTTGCATGCATTTGAAGTATTAGAATTATTGGTGTAGCCAGCACTCTTGAATGCTTACACTAACAGTAATAGTGCTATTAATTCGATAAACTTCAGCTTAAATTTGGTATCCCCTTGCATAACCTTGGTTCACATGGGATTTTAATTCTTTTCTATAGAGTAGATTGCACAATTGATTTTAACTTCTGTTGATGATTAGTAACTTATCATAGACAAGATTATTATTGCCCTTCAGGTCTTTATGCTCCAAAAGATGCTACTTATTTTTGCTCTCATACATAATTTCATGTTATCAAGTACTGCCTTTTTATCTTTCTTATACCCTTCCTGCTCTCTAGGTATTGATGCGCTATGGAAATGAACAACAACTGCATCAATGGCTAGTTCCCTTGCTTGAAGGAAATATCCGTTCTGGATTTGCAATGACAGAACCACAAGTTGCATCTTCTGATGCTACCAATACAGAGTGTTCTATCAAAAGGTAGAACAGTTGCAACTTACTGTAACTTCCTTTTTTTTTTTTTTGGTAAGACCACCTATAGGGTGGTGTATTGGTGATATGAAATGATGACAAAAAATGCAATCTTAATTCTTAGGAGGGGGATGGGTGCGGACACACGAGACTCACCTTGTTGGATATTAAACTTTACATGAGCACTTGTAATCAAAGAATCATTTCTTGAAATTTAACATTCTGTCCCTTTCTTTTGAAACCGGGAAGTATTAGGCCCTTCAAAACGTGCTCACCAATGGATATAATGTACTAAGTTCTATGTTATATCATATATTCCATGGATGTCTTGAACAGGCAGGGAGATTCATATATCATCAATGGAAGGAAGTGGTGGACCAGTGGAGCCATGGATCCTAGGTGCAAGATCCTCATTGTCATGGTTAGTTACTGTTTGCCGCTGTTTTTGTCTCTGAGTTTACAAATTAAAAGCAATTAATTTGAAAAATATCCAGGGGAAAACAGACTTCAATGCCCCCAAACACAAGCAGCAATCCATGATCTTGGTAGATATTAATACTCCTGGTGTGAATGTAAAGCGACCTCTGATGGTGTTTGGGTTTGATGATGCACCTCATGGGCATGCTGAAATATCATTTGAGAATGTTCATGTCCCTGCCAAGAATATTCTGCTCGGAGAGGGGCTTGGATTCGAAATTGCACAGGTAATATTATTTGAAGCTCTTCATGCTTGGTAAGCAGCACTGGAATGGACTAGACCGTACTGCTATGAACAAGATTGTAGCATTTTTTCTTATTTAACACTCTCTCTTCAATTTCAACCATCATTGTAAAAGAATCTGTCAGGCCACTTCCATCTAAAAGACGTGCTAATCCTAATTGTACTTCCATTAGTTTGAATGGCTTTGAATGCTCACATGTAATTCTTTTCTTTCTGATTGAAACTTGACGAGTCCTATTTAATTTTTCTCATGTGGGTCACTCTTTTTGGTGTTCTTTGCTGAAGATCTCGGTTGTATTTGATACAAACTACAACTATAGCAAGCCTTATTGGGGTCAGCCTTAGTTGTTAGTGATTGTTTTCCTCAAACGGCGCAATTCACGTTTTTTCCAACTCTTTTGCAGGGTAGGTTGGGCCCTGGAAGGTTGCACCATTGCATTAGACTAATAGGTGCTGCCGAACGTGGCATGCAGATGATGGTTCAAAGGGCTTTAAGCAGAAAAGCTTTTGAAAAGTTTATTGCCGAGCATGGGTCATTCCTTTCAGATGTTGCTAAGGTTGGTTTGGTACACATTCTTGTTGAAATTTATGCCCTTTGCTTATGTACTTGCCACATTGCGATGTGGTTGGCTCGAATTTTATTGGTTTTTCCTCGCTGCAGTGTCGGATAGAACTGGAGAAAACCCGATTATTAGTTCTAGAAGCTGCAGATCAGCTCGATCAACTAGGAAACAAAAAGGCCCGTGGGATGATTGCAATGGCCAAGGTATTTTTGGCATTTGATTTTCATCGAAGATTAAATATATATTAATAAATATAGTATCACAGTAGGCAAATGACATGGATTCAATTCTTGCCATTAACCGTTTTAAAAAAAAAAAAATATTGACGTTCAAGCAAAAGGCCTAGGCTCAAGTCTTGCCACCACTTGTTCACAATTTTTTTTTCTCGCAAGTGTACACCTTAGAGAAAAATGAATCCGGGCTGCATGTAAGGAGTATATTGAAGGCTAAATTTAAATGCATAAATGCATTCCATTTCTAACAGCTTGAGCTTTTGTTTCTTTAATTCTTTCTCCCATTTGTTGTGGTTCCGTGGGCAGGTTGCAGCTCCAAATATGGCATTGAAGGTGCTCGACATGGCAATGCAAGTGCACGGTGCAGCCGGATTGTCCGGCGACACTGTTCTCGCTCATCTTTGGGCTACAGCTAGAACATTGAGGATTGCAGATGGTCCTGATGAAGTCCACTTAGGGACAATAGCAAAATTAGAACTACGGAGAGCTAAGCTTTGAGAACACGTTTAGTACAAAGTACTGGACAATATTATAAATTAAGGTTTTAACTTATTCTTTATTTCTATACAAATTTTCCTACCAAACATATGGGGAGAGTTGGACGTGAAGAGGAGAAATGTATGATTTATCGAAATTAATCTATTTGTCATTTTTGAAAGATGACAAAATGCAATCCTTTTTCTCTAGTTGAAATTACATGCATCCAGACGTGTTTTAAGTAATTGAAGAGTTACTTTGATACAAACGTAAGAATTACTTATGCAAAAATAGAGTTACTTTTTAGGGTTATGTCATTTATACACTGTTTGTTTATATCTTTGTTGACATTTGTATTGTTGTCAACAAATAATTGGATGAAAAAACTGTTTTTTTTTTAACTATCTAATTGGATAATGTCATGTGGTAAAGTGTAAACAATGGTATGCACCATGATATATTCCAAGTATGATTGAGATTTGAGAATGGAATGTCTTCCTTTTCTTCCGACTTACCCAAGTAGAGAAGGCGATACATTCTAGAGGTAGTTCTTGTAGATTTGTTGATTAGACCCCATTAATTTATAATACAGTTTTCTCTTTTTTAAAAAAAAAAAATTACGTATTTTTCAATAAAACAAAATTATACATAAATTAAAAAAAAATTCTTTTTTTTCAACCACACATTTTCTGAAAGAAATGTTTTTTCAAAAATTATAACATCAAATAAAGGAAGCCAATTGAAAGACGAAAACATAAATATCGATGGGACAATTGAAAGATAAATGTTCAAACTACCAATCGTCATATGTTGAAATTTTGGCAAACATTAAGCCCATGTTTGTCTATCATTTTTCAAAACATTGTTTTCTACGGTAATCAATCTCCACCACACATTCTGGATAATGTCATGTGGTAAAGTGTATGATTGTACTTTTTAATCTCAGACAAAATCTTTCGTAAATTTATTATTTTCCAATAGTTATACGTTTTGCTAATTATTTGTAGTACCAAATATCGTATTAGAGTTTAGAACATTATACTCTAATCCTTTTATCCTTCCAAATCCTAACTTCTAATTTAATTCGGAGTACCAAGCACACCCTAAATTTTTGTTCACAACTTGAAAGCCAAGGGATTTAAAGAAAGAAAAGAAATTCTTTGCTAAACTAAGAACTTGTTTTCATTAAAGAGAAAGGAGACGAGGGTAGAGCCAAAATGTGTTAGGAGTCGTCTAGTTGTGAACAACATACACGACAAAAAGTCCAACATTTGTTGTTACATGGCATGTGAATGGTCGGTCTATTTTTAGAAATGGGGTTATGAATTCACGTTCAACTGAAAACTTAATTAGAGAAAAATAAATATAAAAGGAAAACTTAAATCAAAATAGTAAAACCGCTCATATGCCCGGGCACTGAGCTAGGCCTAGATAAAGGACCAAGTCGACTGGTCGAGTTGCCTTAAAACCGGGTCGTGTCGAATCTGGTTACGCCTCTCTTGTAAGACTCATTGGCCCATAAAAAGTTGGTCTTTCAACCCAAGTCCAGTTACCTTGGGCTACTATTTATAAGGCCCATAATTATTTCGTCTCAGCGGGAAAAACGGCCACCATAATTTTCAAATCTCTCCCTCTAGTTATCCACCCCCCCCCCCCCCCCCCCCCCCCCCCCCCCCCCCCCCCCCCCCCCCCC